TTGCTTTGCTTTGCTTTGCTTTGCTTTGCTTTTTCCTTCCCTTTCCTTTCCTTCACACTCCTTTCTTTTCTTTTCCCTTTGCTTTTTCCCCTTTTCTTTTGTTTAATTTCATGACATTATCTTCATGATTGAGCTTCTTTTTAAAATATTGTGTTTTCACCCGTCATCGTTCGATCGGATATTATTAACCACTGGTTTCCCCCCCCCAGGCCTTGCTGTTGGTTGTATCATCACAGCCATGATAGCGAAGTTCTTTATTATGATATCTTTTGACTCGATTTACGTGTATTCTGCTGAACTGTTCCCTACAGTTATAAGGTGGGTGTTATTGTTCTCCAGAAAATTTTATGGGCCAAATCCACTTGGGCAGAGTGTTTTCCCATTTCAAACCACGTGTCATTCCCTAGAGTATTATTTTTTTGTTTAACGTTTGCACATGAGAAGACACACAGTGAATATGGATACAACTGAAACAAAGAATCTTATTCTCGAGAGAATCTCACTTGGCCTGCTGAAATGGAAAAACATTACGCCCAAGTGCATTTGGTCCAGTAATATATTGGGGAAAAAACGAAAACTCTAACATAGTGAAAACAAATTCACAATATTTTTCGTCGTTCCTATTTTTGGCTTGGTTTTAACACTTGTCAAAACAGCTTTATCTTTTTACTCCGAAAGGAAAACGTTTTGCAAAAATAATTCGAAGAGGGTAAACTCGGATATAGCTAGTGGTATCGAGAGGAAGGGGAAAGGCTCTGTAGTATAGAGAACACCCTAAAACAACCTCTGGGCTGCTCTAAGTCGTTGCACGGCTATCTCACATATCCAACCCTGAAACAACTTCATGGCTGATCTAAGTCAGGCCTCGATTACCTCTCAGATTGAACCCTGGCAAAACTACGGTGGAATTTAGCGTGTTGCGTTTTGGGGAGGGAGAAAACCCGAAGAACCCGGATAAAAACCCTAAAAACAAGGGAGAGATCTGGCCGTAACAAACTCTACTCACATGTGATGCTAAATCCAGGAATCGAATCACGTACAGAATGCAGAAAGAAGTCAGAGAGTAGTGAAATACTCCAATATTCCAGTTATTTAATTGGGTTGTTTCATTCTGTCATGTAGGAGTGTTGGGATGGGAACATCGTCTGCAGCTGGCCGAATAGGATCATTTTTATCGTCATACGTAATTTGGCTGGCAAGTATCCGTTTTATTCCACTCTTCATTACTGATTAACCAATGCTTTTGGTTTCGTATTTATCAAGAAAACAAAAGTATAAAGCTTTTCTTTTTTTAGTTGTTTGTCGTTGATGTTGCTAATACAACTAATTCCGTCTAAAAACTCGACCAATTATCTATTTGAATTGAATTTAGTATTTCTTCAATTTTACGTCTCATTTTTTTTCGCTCGCCATATTTTCATTTACTTTCATTTACTTGGACAACTTCACGCATGCGCACGCCTATTCAACGCTCAGCATATCTGCGGCAATTTGTCTGACCTCAGGGATCCCAAACTATGTATTGATGGCTTCTAAAAGCAAGCGAATTTTTGTTGCTCAATATATGTACATATTACATATTTTTGGTAACCTCGAAGGAATAATTTGTGAATTATTGATTGACTTACAGAAGCGAATCCACACTATATTGCCGTATGGTATCATGGGAGGTGCTGCTCTAATCGCGGGCTTCCTGTGTATGTCCCTGCCAGAAACGAAGGATCAGCCCATGCCAGATGTGATTGATTCAACTTCTACTTCAGAAGAAATCCTTGAAAAAGAGAATAAAGGCAAGATTGATGGGTCTGATGAGCAGCATGGAAGCGTGGTGAAGCTTAGCCCAATATGTAGGAAACTGACGAATGGTAGAGAAAATGCAGTTTGATTATGAATGAATATGAAAATGTAAAAAATATTGTCAAAATTGAATTTTATGGCAGTCATTCACTAGATACACAAGTGTCGAAAAGGGTCATCTTTCGAGCATCCGTAATACATTTTTTGGGCAATATCACAATCYCGTACCCAGAGAGCCCTTATTTCTTACTGCGCATGCTCGACGAAATTTATTTCGTCGAGCATGCGCAGTAAGAAATAGGGCTCGTGGGACTCTGTTAATGGAGTAAAAAAAGTCAATAAAACATGATACATGGATGAAATGACACTTCGAAAAATGCAGTAAAATTATAAATTATTACATCACTAAGTGAGTTCTGTCGTAAGTTCTTTGACGTGTTTCTCTAAACAGATTATTGAAGTTCTTATAGATGCTGATTGAGATTCACATGAGAAATTGAGAGAAAAAAACAAATTGCTGTTTTGACGCAGCATGGAAGTCTAAAATTTAAAAATTTAACTTTGATTTTCTCCAATAATAATAGTTTTCCTTGTTCCCTGCTAGCAGAGTCTCCCTCCGGTTGGCGCCGGATTCTTGGCCAAGAATCGCCAACGAGGGAGACTTCGCTCTGCTAGCAAGGAATTTTCATTTTCTGTCCTCTGTCCTTTTGCTCTCTCGATGTTTAGAAATTGGATGACAATATTCATTACTTTTCTCGTGTATGAATTCATCATTTCTTTGAATGGTTCATTTATATTATTTAATATTATGAAATATATTAAACTGATTAAAATAATATCCAGTAGCCTAGTGTAGCAGGGTTTATCCATAAGGGAGTCGGGGAGCCGTTAGAATTTTCTCTGATTCTAAGGCCCTGGCTAAACGAGGAAACATGTTTCCAAAAACATGTTTACCGCGCGCATGTTTCCTCGATGTTTCCCAGTTTAGCCACATGCGAAACATTGCTGCGTGTAACAAATTTTGCTTCCAAGACGCAAAAAATGTTTTGCTGTAGGGCAGAAACATTTCATGTTTCTAAGACGCATGGAAACATTGTTTCCCGATGTTTCCTGACAGTTTTGCCACCTTAGGAAACATTTAGGGAAACATGTTTCCTCGTTTAGCCAGGGCCTAAGGCTCAGGTCAAACGTCGAAATTTACACCAAATACTGTAACAAAAGCGTGGCGAACTCGGCCAATCATCGCGGCCAACGAAAACAAAATTAAAACGCCACATTCACTGCGGTGCTTGAATTTATACTCAATATATTTCCAGGGCAAAACTCACTAAAAACTAGTCCAGCTAGACTCGTGATCCTTTGCATAAAAGCCATATCCTCAGGCCATTATAAGTTACGATGACAAGAATGATTTTACGGAAAGTTTGAAATTATACGATGGCAAGCATTTATATTAATGTTGCTAAATATGGAACAAGGCCGTGGAATCCATGTATAACAGAGAGACACTAAGGCTTCGATAGGTGTCTGAATGGTCTGTCAGCATATTCCTAAATCAAGAGTCCATTACTAGGAGCATCCATCAACTGGGTCTGTGAGCCAACCATGATTTTCCCAGATCAGAATCCTGTTACTAGGAGCATCCATCTGTCAAACTGGGTCTGTGAGCCAACCATGATTTTCCCAGATCAGAAGTCCATTACTAGGAGCATGCATATCTACTAAACACTGGATCTTTGAGTCTGGGCCAGCATTTTAGGTACCACTGATATTTCACAGATCCAGATTGAGACGCTTCCTTCCCCCATCCAAGAAATCCAGACTCCATTCCATTCCTGTTCAGGAAAGGAAATTAATTGTTTATGTATTATTGACAAAGATAGTTTGCATAATATGTATCCCGTTTCAGGCTTTGTTTTTACTGATTTGCATCTAATTGTCGATTGTTCACATGCACAATAGAGTTTTTCTTGCCCGCTGTGTGGCGAAAATGAGACTATGAGTTCGCAAGCTGCTAGCTAAAYATCTATACTTCACGGCTTACTCACAGTCTACTTATATTTCGTACAATTCCCAAGGTGTTTTCTCATATTAGGTAAGTAAAAAACCAACACAATCAATGTAGTGTGAAGTCTTTCGGAAGGAGTAATCATTGGCGCCTCGATGTCCTTTACGTGTAAAGTTTTGCAATGTCTCACCGTATCTGTGATGCTCAAAAATTATATGGTACTTAATAAGGGAGTTTTACAGCAAAGAACTAAGTTTATCTGCGAATCATCAACCAATGTTTTATGTTTCTTTGTTGAATATTGATGGTTTCCCTACCTCTCTCTATATGCTTCTTAATTTTGTGTAAGATTTGCATGACTGTCGGTCAATAAGCCAACAGATTGTGATCCTCGCTTGCTTTATTAAAGTTATTATGAACAGTTTATATTGCCTTCCGTTTCGACAGTGCAAAGAGAATCGCATTTTTTCTCTCTCGCTAGATTGTACATATAAGGATGGTGAACGGAAGGCTTTTATGTTTCAGCTTGGGAATGTTCAGAGTAAATTGTACATTAAAATACACCAAAGTAATAGTTATTAGTACGAAACGATTAATGTATTTTAAAAAGGAGTTCATTATCCAAGCATAATTTTTGTGTTTATAATAGCGAGGTGCAGACCTGTTATTTATTCATTTACAAAGAAACTGGACTTATTCAGTACAAAAGATTGTTTTCAACGATAAAAATAAGCCTTAATAGAAAAATAAATACTTATTGAATCAACTGCGTGGTCAGCCGGGTGTAAGTGTAAGTTAAGAACAGTAATATAAAAGGCAGACGTTAAGTGTGTGACATGAAAGTCTCGCAATGAAAATGTAGAGATAATTGAAACCGAAGGTCAAGAAGCGAAGTGTGGGTGAAATACGATACTAGGTAGCAAATTCATAAAAAGTTATATTGAATTGCATTGATTTCCAACGAGAGCAATTGTTCTAGGGGATAAAACAATAAGCCGTCTTTTTCTTGCAAAAAAAATCAATTGTTTTGTCCCACAGCAGAATAATTCCTTTACTCGGAAATCTGTGCAATGGGTATACTATAGTAATACGCACGGTGCTGTCGGAGTCAAAACTTATGATCAGTGTGAATTTCGAATTTGAATAAAACATTTTGACCGTATTTCATGAATGGAAAGATACTATTACGATGAAATATGTGTGTGGAAGCACCTTGAGTTCGGTAAATGAATGGACGAACCAAACAAAGTACGGTAAACACACATGTGGCCTCTTATCCTTTCGAATCATGAAACTATCCAGATACGATGCATGACCATCGTAGTTCTAATCTTATTGTGTTAATAAGATTCAGTGGATCCCGGAGATGTGAAGTAGAGGAAATAAACTGTGGAATTTGTAATCTTCTATCAGAGAGGTTGCTAAAAATATATAAACTGCGGAGTTACGTTTAGCAAGGAGTCTAATATTGGTTCTTGTATCGAATGTTATTCGTCAAACTACCGTGGTAGTGATAAATGTGGTGGTGGTGGTGGTGGTGGTGGTGGTGGTGGTGGCCATATGCATTCTTACCTAAGTTCAAAAAGTTTACCTAGTTCGTAGGTAAGTTTTTTGAACATGTTCAAAATTCTTACTTAGACATAGTAAACTTTTAGAACATGTTCAAAAAGTTTACCTATTTCTAAGTAATTTTTTTGAACATGGTGCTCTTCTTGAACATGTTCAANAGCCTCCAAAATCTTGCTGCCAAAACTTTCGGTCAAATACCAAATAATCACGAAAAATGTTTTTGAAAACTGGCTATTTTCTACTTTTAATCAGTAACTGAACTTGTCCAGGGTGAGGTTCAAAAAATTTGCTAGGATGCATCTAGTGGTGGTGGTGGTAGTAATACGTTTCGCTTTGATTAACCAAACCGCCCCAATCTTAAAGCTAACCTCTATGTTCTTCCTTTCTACTTAGCAATCATGACTCTATCAGTAGATGAATATCTGGAACACGTTGGAGTCATGGGAAGGTTCCAGTGGTCGATTGTAATCATCGTGGGTATTATGTTGGTACCAGTGACGTTCCAAACCCTCATCATGGCCTTCTTGGCTTTGGAGCCAGACTGGAAGTGCGTGGATGGAAGTAGCGTCTGTAATTTTACTCGTGAGTATGATTTTTTCTTCTCGAAGTTTTGGTTATATCAGGAAGGCGGGCAGACGAGCAAATAAACAGAGGACGGGCGAACGGACGAAAGATCAAATGTCTGGTCAAAGTACGGGTACACAAACAAATTAATGACCATGCAATTTAACGGATGGACGGACGGACGGTGGGTTGGTTGACAGACCGACAGACCGACAGACCGACAGACCGACAGACCGACAGACCGACAGACAGACCAAAAGACCGACAGACCGACAGACAGACTAGAAGAACTCCGGAACTGCCTTCGAACATAAGATCGAACGAAAGAACGAAAACAACAATGATTGGTCAATTGAACGAACGATCAAAAATCAAATCGGTTCCTAAACATTCTATCATTGTGATATTTGCGTCTTTTCGTTTTGTTTCTCAGAAACCTTTTCGCCGAACGGTATAGACCCGAACAAATTTTATCGATGCGATATCAACCGCAGCGAATGGGAATTCACAACCCCGTACACGTCAATCATAACTGAGGTGAGTAGCTTTGATGGAAATACAACCTTCAAACAAATACTTAGATAAGGCTCAGGTCAAGCTAGAGTTTGATCATTATCTACCCCCTCCACCCCTCCCCTCCTCCCCCCTCCCCCACATTAGTACATGGCCTACAAATGGCACGTTTGCATGATGGCGTCATTTTACTACGACTACCATAATGCTTCGCGAATTTCCTTTCTTATTAAATTTGTATTTCCTCACGAGAATAGTAAGACAATTGGTGCTAATTGACCTGTAAACAAAAGAAAGTGTGCAAAGAATTCTAGTAGATGTAGTTAATGACGCCATAATGCAACCTCATAATCGCACGATGTATTTTAACAGTGGGACCTAGTCTGTGAATACTCTTTTCTTGGATGGGCTACAAGCGCCATCATGTTCACTGGCTGGCTGTTCGGAAACATCATCTTTGGCATCCTGTCAGACAAGTATGGCCGTCGGATAATCCTGTTCTTCTCGTCCAGCATGGTATGCTGGTTAGCATTTGCGAGCTCGTTTGTCCCTTACTACTGGTTGTACGCCATCTTCAGATTCTTCATCGGCTTCGGTCTCGGTGAGTGACAAAATGACCACGTGAACGAAGTAGTCACGTGGTACTTAATTGATCACGTGATTCAAGACATAGCAGAGAAATCGAAAGCGATCAAAAAATAACAAAAATATATAAATAAGTAAAACGACTTCAAGCTACGTTCAAGTATGCTAACTACTTTAAATTCTGAAGTACGACCTTCGAAGTGAGCTGAGAAAGTAGTGTAATGAACCCTTCTTAGAAAGAATCCGATGTGAGGCTAACATGAAAATACAAAAGAAATCACTTCTTTTTTTTTCTCATATCAAACAATGAGTGTCAAGGCTCTCTTTCCCGGTCTTAAAAAAAGGGACTGGGGAGAAGCTTGTTTTTTTCGTATATTTTGTAGTTTTTTCTTGTTTTTTGTCTTCGCCAAGCTCGTAAATGTCCCTCAGCCGTTTTGCCAGCCGACGAACACGCTTGTCCGCCATCTTTGACCTCAGGGTAAAGACCGGCGATCCAAATATGGAATTATATGATTCCATATATGGAGTGACCTTTCTCAACTCCAACTTTGACACTAATGCATGGAGCAAAACTTGATATGTGATGGAATTTGTGGCATTTCTTTTGCATTTTCATGTTAGTCTCACATTTAAGTTTGGGAAGGGTCTATCGAATTTATAAGTTTCTTGCAACAGCTATTGAATCAGGCGAAAACAAACAAATAAAAACCTCACACACCACGCACACTCCTTCAAGCATATATACATTCAGAACAACTACGGCTCAGGTCAGTTATCGAACCTGATTGAAACAATGCAGGGCCGTAACTAGGGGGGGGGGGGGACACAGGGTGCACGTGCACCACCCCCCCATAAAAGTTTAAGGTACGCTCACCCATCTCCTTTTTCTTTTGGTTCTGCTTTCTTTTGGTTACCTTTTTTTATTTTTTATTTTTTTGGTCACCTTTTTTCTTTTTCTTTTTTTCTTTTGGTTCTGCTTTCTTAAAAGAAACGATCAATGGTCCGATTTTATTCGATGTGCACCCTCCCTGTAAAAGTTCTGGTTACGGCCCTGCAATGGATAACAAGGCGGTCTTCTTTAATGTTATAAGGTTCGGCTCATGTGAATTTTTGTGAAGACGTTTGACATGAGCCTACAATTCCCAATACTGACATTTAAATCTTACCTGTCATTTTTATCCAGGGGGATCCATCGTTTGTCTTTTTATTATGGCAACCGAGTTTGTAGGCCCTGAAAAGAGAGCAATGGCGGGAACGTTCACYTGGTACTTCTGGACAGGCGCGTTGATGCTGATAGCTCTTCTCGCTTACTTCATAAGAGACTGGAGAACGCTGTCCATAACTACATCAGCTCCTGGGATAGTACTGTTCCTTTTCTGGTTGTAAGTTGATTATCGTACATTGTAAGTTAGCAAGAATGATGCATATTGCTGGTGCCCCCAATATAAGCCCCTATTCCGGCCCAGAGTCACCCAGAATACAAAAAGAAAAAGAAAAAAGAAAACAAACATCTTCATTCATTCAATTAATTACCAAAACCAAAAACATGGGTTTCAAGGGCATCCATATCGTTGGCTAATTTTTTTCCCTTTACAAAATGAAATCCATTGTTCCCGTCCTGCAACATAGTTGTAAAAACTCCTTTATACAAACAAGCAGGATTTTACAGACAGATTGCGAGCAAGAGATGTAATGTATTTTCGTTAGTTGCATTCCAGAGTCTGTTCGTTGGTTGGTTACACACGACAAAGTGCAGGAAGCAGAGGACATTCTTCTGAAGGTTGGAAAGTTTAATAAAAGGGAAAGTCCCCATGACGAGCATCTTGGCTTGCCCGATATACACTCGAACGCTTTTGCGAGGAAAGCTACTTTACTGGACTTGTTTCGGACACGAAAGATTGCAATAAGAACAATCATTATATGGGTTTCTTGGTAGGTGACTCTATTTCCCTTCCTAACTGAACTTACCTTCTCAATTACCTAGCTTCAATGCTTGCCTGCTTGCCCGCTTGCCCGCTTGCCCGCTTGCCCGCTTGCCCGCTTGCCCGCTTGCCCGCTTGCCCGCTTGCCCGCTTGCCCGCTTGCCAGCTTGTGGTCACTGAATCTTTACAATCAGAATCTGTTGCGTTTCCTAATACTTTAGGTTCGTCAACGCGCAAGTCTATTTTGGAGTTTCTCTTGGCTCTGTTCTCCTTGGTGGTAACATGTACCTTAACTTCTTCCTGACTTCCCTCATCGAGCTTCCTGGAAATGCATTCGCTATCTTTTCCATGAACAAGTAAGAATAACATTTTATTGGTCTCTTTGCTGGTTGGTTAGCTAAGCGATCTGTTGGTCGGTTTGTTTCTTAATTTTTTCCTGACTTTAATGATGGAACCTAGATGGACTCCTCAAGTAATTTGCCCTCCTTACAACTATTGCTTCATTGTAAATCCCGCTTTAGATTTGGCCGTAAGCTGGTAGTAGTGGTGGGCCTGATTGTAGGAGCACTAGGTAACATGCTGGTTACTGTCATTCCAGAGGACCCGACTAACAAAGGTATTTCACTGAGGATTATAACAAGATTACTCGTTCAGCTGATTGAATATGAGAGTCAAGGGTGTTATCGATAGAGGCAGTAGATTCGTCTCTCAACTTTAGGGTCTTAAAGTTAGATTTTGGCCCTAACTAACACAAACTCAAGGTTCAAGTCGTTTCAGGACTCGATAAGTTCAATTTTGATAGATATCAAGATCATTTAGTATATACATTGATTGATCATCCCAAGGTCTAGGTCGTTTCACTGAGGACTCCATAAGTTAAATTTTGATTGATATCAAGATCATTTAGTACATACATTGATTGATCATCCCAAGGTCTAGGTCGTTTCAGGACTCGATAAGTTAAATTTTGATTGATATCAAGATCATTTAGTACATACATTGATTGATCATCCCAAGGTTTAGGTCGTTTCACTGAGGACTCGATAAGTTCAATTTTGATTGACATCAAGATCATTTAGTATATACATTGATTGATCATCCCAAGGTCTAGGTCGTTTCAGGACTCGATAAGTTCAATTTTGATTGATATCAAGATCATTTAGTATAATTATGCATAGATTGATTGTTTGAGTCTTTGATATGTTGTCATTCTTAGGTTATGCTGTTGGACGCATCGTCTTCGCTTTACTTGGCAAGTTCGCAGTCATGTGCTCGTTTGACGCGATATTCGTGTTTACTGCTGAGTTGTTCCCTACCGTCATTAGGTGAGAAAAAACTACTCTTGATTGCTGAGTCAAAGCTCCAGATCACATGAAGATACCTTGTTATTTCCCAGTACCTTCCTTCCTTCCTTTCCTAACTTCCTTCCTTTCTTTCTTCTTTTTTAATTAGCTCTAATGGTCTTGCTATTCTATAGTGACAAAATACAAATTTGGATAATGACAAAAATCGAATAGTCCAGGTTAAATTTCCAATAAAGAAAAACAAAATCGAATAGTTCAGGTTAAATTTCGAATCAACAAAAAAATCGAATAGTTCAGGTTAAATTTCGAATCAACAAAAAAATCGAATAGTTCAGGT